CCGAATGGGTCGTGGCCGACCTAACGACGATTCCGAATCTTGTCCGTCGAGGGGTGGGGGGGTGGGGGGGGGGGGTTGCAGGTGATGTCGAATAGTTACTGACTCGATCGTGAGATGAGTGTGTCACGTCCGCGTGCGTGTTGGTCGATCGAGAGATCCGTGCTGGATTCTTTTTGTAAAAGTTTTCATACCAGGCGATGGATGATGTTCGGCATTTAAATTCCACCGCCCGGTTCGAGGGCGGTGGAATCGATTAACAAAAATGCAGGAGTACTTGAGGAATTTGATCGATCGACCGTTAGTCGATCGATCAAGTTCCCTCACTTTTTCCCTCCGCGTTCTTAAATGAGATGGAGTGGGCGCGATGTGGATCCGGCCCTCCGGCTTCTTCGCGATCTGCATGCGATAATTACTCGGGCAGCCGACGGCCCGTCGTGACGTTGGAGATTGCGTTTCCCCGTTCGCACGGCTGAGAGATTCCGTTTGCAGTTGGTGACCCGTCGCAGGGCGACGAAGAAGAGGAAGCACGTGCCGCTCACGGAGGAGATGCTCAACGAACTCAATAAGGATCACATGGGGGGGGTGGAGAGCTTGCAGTCGCATTCCGATTTCAACACGAACCTGAACATGGGGATGTCTTACAAGTACCACGACCCGACCCTGGACCTGTGGAACAACGACAGTCTCTTCTACGATCCTCGGAAAGCCGTTCGCGACCGGGTGAGTCTCAGAGCCGTCCATCCCGTCGAGTGGAAGCTACGAGAGAAAACCTCGTTGGTTAAGCATTAGTGGTTTTTTTTTTATCTGTGAGCGCTGCATCATTCTCCTTGGACGGGTACTTGGATTCGTTCATTACGCAATCGCGGAAGCTTAGCCAATTTTTTTCTCATAAATTAAAATGTGTGTTATTGAGGTTAGGAAACATTTAGATGCCGAGTCATTCGGGTGCTCCGCTGGCATCACTTCTGGTATGTAAATTTTCGTCGTAGGAGGGAACACGGTAACGACTTCAGAGCGTCGAGTCTCTAAAGTGTACGATGTCGATTCCGATGTCTTTGGGCATTAATTTGTGCACGGTTTGACTTTGCAACGAACAGAAGACGCCCGTGAGCCGCTCGCATTCGCCTGCGGGGTATCCCGGAACGGGGAACGGGAACATCTACGACTCCTGGCGGACGGATTGGTCGGGTTATAACACGGTCGTCCAACCTGGATTCTCCCTGTACAATCCCCGGGCGACCAGGGACTACGATACAGAGTTTTAAACCGGCTGTGATAGTGATCCGAGAAACCACCTGCCCTCACACAGTTTATCCTGCCTGGTCCCGTTTTTTCGGGGACCGGATGCTCGGCCGATGCTCTCTCCGATGGAACACCCGAGAGTGAAAGACAGAAAAAATTGTGATAGAGAGATTGTGAGCGAGTGTGTGACATGGCTCAATTCTGACATCCATTCATGGCATTAAGTTTGCTGTCTTGATGTTTTGTGACACCGGACGAGACACGTGTCAGACAAGATAAAAGTTTTTTAAATAAGATTAGCAAATGTTTTCGTTTTCATTCCATCTCCACAGAAAACGTTCCAGCACCTAAACTTTCAATGTACGAGACCGAACCGATTATATATCATTGTCCATTGATTTTTAAAACCAGAAGTCATGTTTCGGCAACACGCACTTGATCAACTTAAATGTGGATACGATAGTTGGAATGCAATATTGCTGACGAGTACTTTTTATTCATGCGAGAGTAATTTTCAAAAATATTCAATGATCCACATGCAGAAAATACATACAGAGTGAAAAGAACAACTTCGTAAAAGAGGCATTTAGACATGCAGATAAAATCCATCTGAAGGAATTTGAAAAAAAAAGACATTTCAAAATGAGATCTGGTCACATTGCATGGAGAGTCATTCGGATACAATGAAATAAGAAATTCGTGAAAGCCGACAAGGTAAAGAACTAAACGGTGACTACTTGCGCCTGACTCTGGAACGAGCGCTCGGTCGGGCGGGAGCCGGAGGATCTTGGTAGACGACGGGGAGTTGCGGGAGAACGACGTGATCCGACGGCGGCGAGGACAGACTGCGGGACTTCTTCCTTCCCTTGCCGTATGTGACCTTGACCCGAGCCAAATTCTCCGGGGTCTTCGGTTCTTCCTCCGCTTCCGGTTCGAGGGTCACGGGAGACGCATCGAGGATCGGCTCGTCCAACGTCTTCTCCGGCGTCGCCCTCACGAGCCCGCCGTGAATGCGGCGCTCGCGCGGCGGGGCCTGAGGAGGACTCTGGAACAGCATGGACTTCCCCGTCGACGGAGGGGTGTTGGAGCGATGGGCCAAGTTCCTGAACGGCGACTTCATACCCGTGTGCCTCTTCTCCAACATTTCCTTCACTCCTTTATCTGGCTTCTTCCCTCCTGGGCGACAAAATGGGCACCGATATATTCAACTAAATTCTATTCCCACTGAGAGGTACACAATCAGCAAGCTGAGAGCAACTGTGACTCGACGATGAACTCTTCTTGCGCTTTTAATTTTCTCATTCATACTTTATGTAATTTACATACAGCAAAAAGAAAACCAGCTCGACTGCGTTCGGTAGACTAATACATCTTCTGCCATACATCAATTTACCAAGACACTGTTAGGGCTTCTATGCTCTGGTGGGTGCAACCATTCTCAACACGTAATGCAAAATATACCAGAAAAGGAATGCAATGAAAGAAAATTACTTTACAGGGATGCCATTCTAAAGGATCTTCGGTACTTTATCAACGACTGAGACCACGGGCTGAGAGAAAGCCAATTCTAAGGGTCATCGTGTGAACCAAGGGTCGCAAAACGCAGCAGGTTCACGAGAATGCCACGAAGGTGAAAGGAATCCCCCCCCCCCCCCCCACGGAATATCTATGCCACGAAGGGGAAAGGAACCCCCCCCCCCCCCCCCCACGGAATATCAAAGGGGAGCACATCTTTCCCCGGGGGGAAATCTCCAAGAATCGGGAGGAAAAACTTTTTTAAATGGATACGCGGGAGTACTTTTGCTTGTTTTTTTTTTTCCCCTCCGAGTTTATCAGTTATGCAATCGCGTTCTCCATGAGATACCAGTCGATCGATCCTTTTGTACACCTCATTTCAATCAGACGCGCGAGCAAACAGTATGTAACAGAAACGAGAAATCCGCAAAGTAAAGAAAAAGTGGGAGAAATTTTAAAGCACTACGTTCTGCAAACCCTGTCGGAATGCGTGGGAACACTTATCGGTCGTCCGTGTACGGTTCTCGAGACCTCTTTCATCAAAAAGGCATGAACATACACGTCATGCAGAGATCTCCAGATGGTCTTCCAAAAACGGCAGTGGGCACCTCAAAGGTTAGGTCGCTCCTTACGCACAGCAGGCAACGACCAATCAGAAACGCGCACTACATCAGTCCTTGATTTTGAAGTGAGTTTCGTTTCCTCCCAACTTGAACAAGTGAAGAAAGGCACTCTTCAAAAAATGAGTTTTGCTACTCCTGGCGTGAACACTAACTTGATTCTGCGGCGATCCTCCTGAGACTCCCTTAAGAGAATAGCCACTTGAAGATCCCCTAAAATCCATAGGTGCATGAACCATACAAAGGAAAAGGAAGACAAAATTTTGGCTCAGCACACGCGTTCCCTTACGTACCAAATTTGATGCATCCTTGATCATGAAAGTCTCAATGCGACTTTCATGATCAAGGATGCATCAAATTTGGTGATCAAATCCAAGTGGGCGATTTCATCTCAAGTGTTCAATAGTAATTTCTTCAAATTTGGCGCAGATGTTTGCCCTATTTAAGAAAAAAAAAAAGGGGGCCGATTGCTCTAACAGCATTCCCCATAGTTTCCATGATTAGAATTGCAAACATACTTCGAATAGGTTCTCTCAGCACATACTTCTCAACTATTCAAGGTGGATGAAACTCAAATGGCAGGTTTTGTTCTGCCATCTTACCTATAATGAGAAGACTCATATGCACAAGTTTTCCCTTATAGTTGAAAGAGGAGGAGAGGAAAATAGAAAAATATCAAGCAATGTTAGAGAATGGCAGCACATTGAAAGGCGCCAGAGGTACTCCAGTTCTTTTTCATTGAAACTGGTTTTCCTTTTCATCCATTCACTTAGTAGTTCCTAGGTATGGCTGACATCAAAATCTTCAGACTATCAACTTTTCTTTCTGTGAAATCCGCTGAGAGTTCACAATATATGTTCATCACAGCCTAGGCTAACCAGCAAGAATGTTCTCCTAACATTACATCTCAGCGTATGGATGTACCTTTATCCCCCTCTAGAGGTGTGTCCTTGCTACATTTTTGCATACTTGACTTAGGCGTGAAGAAACGCCAGGGAATGGCCATTAAACTAACTGAACCAGAGAATGGGAACCAAGTGTCAAAGAAAAAAAAACCAAGCTTATCTATTTTCTTCAAATTTCAAGCAAGATGTCCCTCAAAGGATTTTGGACACCAGATTTTGAATCACCCAGCTGCCATCCCACATATGCAGGTTTTCCCTTGTTCCTTCTTTCTCTTCAAATGGATCAAGCTCACATCTGCTTTGCAAAGCCTGAGCTTACCCTTGGAAGGAAGTGCAAGATGCTGCTGTAGTTGCTTCTTTTCCTTCTTTTCTTTTCCCTCCTGGATGACTCTCTGACATTGGCGGGAGAGAAGTTCCAACTGGAGATGGAGGGTGCGATAATGCTCAAGGACCAGCCCCGGATGATACTGAAGGGAGTGAAAGAGCTTCATTCCCTCATTCACAGATGCCAAGGCGGACTCTGGTTCTTCCTTCCTCAACTTCAGTTCTCCACTCATCACCACCACCCTGCACACCAGAATCAGTGTGTGATGACCAGAGAGAAGTTTAAATACAATTGAAAATCTAAGCCTTTTGATGCATTCCTCTCTCAATTCACATAACTAGCATTTCAATCAACACGGTGATTAGTCTCCTCAACCAATGCATCCATTTTCATAGATATTGAAATTATTTCATTTCTTGAATGCAATTCCCAGCTATTATAGCAAATTGGGTTTCTAATATACAATAAGAACTTGTCTTTCAAAGCACATCTTTCACCCAGTTGTTTCTGGCCATCTAAATCATTATAAAAGATTTACTGGATAATTCATATGGCACAAGGAAAATATTTAGAGGAAAGTGCTTTGAAATACAGGAATAAGTCTAGGCTTTCTTAACCACCTTGTACTGCCCATATACAGTATAACATTACCTGAGTTTATGCAGAGTGATGAGAGCAGCCTGAAAACCTTGCTGACTGGTGAAGATAGTTTCAGCTTGTTTGATAATCTTCAGAGCATCATCAAAGCACTTCTTCATGACATACAGATCAACTTGAATCAATACTGCATCAACTATTAAAGAGCGCAGGAGGACATTTTCACACAGGATACAATCAGATGAATGACTACAATTGTGTTGCAGCATGGCTTCCAGGTATTTTGGTTCTTCGGGTTTCAAGAAGAGTGACGAGGGCGACATGGTGCATGAGTCATCTGTGCTGTCCTTCAAACTCACATACTTCATATTTGAGACAAGAGAAGGAATCACAAATGAATCATCATCATCAGACATAGATCCACTCTGTCGCACAGTGACTGGTCCCAGTCTTGGTGTCTTCTTGGCAGATAGAGATGCTTCCCTGCTACAGGTCTGCATGATCTCTGAATAAGATGAAAAACTTAGTTTGTACAGGAAACCCAGAAATCACTTTTCAAACAACTTTGAAGAATGTCAACAGTACATGACTGACAGCTTTCAGATGAGATAAAAGAGTGAAGTCATCACCAATGAGGTATCATAAATGTCAACATGCGGCACCTTTTAGGAAATCAGATACACTATGGTATTCTTGCACCCATGCTACATTTTTCAAAGAAATTTCACTTGATAGTGAAATTCTTTGCTTCTCAAAACTCTTATTCAGAACAAAAGGTAAAAGAGTAAAATAATAGTAAATTAAAGTTTGCAAAGTCATAGTCATCCACTAAATAGTGTTAACAAAATTTAGCTTTAGAGTATGAAGCCAAGTCTTGAAGGATGACTGACTTACTGGGCGTTGGATTAGCTCGGGACTCCATACTGAGAATGTCTGAGATGCAATGCAGCTTCTCCGTTGTCTCATCCTCCTTCTCACATAGTAGATCAGCACGTCCAGCCAGGGCCAGCAATTTCCCAGTCCTGAAGGAAAAGAACTTTTCATTTTCAGTCTCACAATTGCAAAGAACAGAAACTTTGACAAAATTGGTTCACTTATTGGCTACCCCCCACCAGTAAAAGCATTCAATCTATATTGAAGGTTCATCATTAGGTCAAAATATATGATGGTCAACACTCACGGGAGAGAGTATCCAGCCCGTTGGGTGAAGAAGAGTGCCTCTCGTGTGTATGCACGGATTTCCCGGGGAAGAGATAGGGAAACATACCATTCCCCAACTTCAAGGCTGCAGTTGATGAAGACCAACACTGTCTCGTAAACATCCTCTGGCTTCACACCTGCAACAAACATCACAGCCTGTAACAGAGCAAAGAAACCACCAAACAAAATGTGAAACATATTGCTTGCCCTATGACATTTGTCAAGTCCAGTGATCCAAGCTTCTCAAACATACAACAGGGGGGATGTGACACCAAAATCATTTTGAAACAAGTTTAAGACTTTTGAATATCATGACAGACTTTCCATTCAAAAGATTCTTAAAATCAGCAGCAGCCAGAATGGGAGGACATACCAGTTTTCTCCTTGGCAATGGCCTTCAGACATCCAGCAAGAGTGCGAAAGGCATTTGTTAATGCCACCTCAGGGGTGAAAATCAGTTGATAGCATCTTGCTAATGGCTGAAGGGACTTGGGAAGTGTACCCATAGGAATGAGAAGATATTTTGAGAGGAGAATCAAGGCCTTGGCCTCAATGCGACTAGATGAGTAAGTGTGCTGCTCCAAGTAAGGATCTCGGAACACCTGATCCAATGCTTGGAACCCTTTCTTGGTCTTAAAGAAAAAGAAACACAATGTTCTGATTTCAGGAAAGAAGCCGACTCTAGGAAAAGAGTGTGCTTGAAATTCATTTCAAACTTAGCCCACCTTGCCGGTGTAGAAGCAGATCTTGGCCTTTCCCACAAGAAGAGAGAGTCTAAGCTTGTCCACGCTTCCACTACATTTCTCCAGCTGTGCTTCCAGGGTTGAGATGATGCTCCAGGGCTCTTCCAGCTTCCAGGGACACTGATCCAGGATGTCTATCCCAGCTAAATGGATTGGAGCATGGGGATATGCATAATGCAATATTAAGAAAATTACAGCAGAATCAAACTGTAGGTCTGAATTTCAGCCTTCATTAAAACAGGTTTTTCATGAAAACTGACTTCCAGTGCAGTACATCAAGAAAATTCCAGACTTGAAAATTCATTTACAAACAAGGAAAAATTCTGTGAGGACTGGGTCCTATGCACTGCTGTTTACTTCATTACAGGGATACAATTTTAGGATTTGGCAGCCAGCCGCTATTAATGATTTTGCACAAAAAAAGTGAGTTTGAAAAATTAAAGGCTAAAGAGGAACCTTGAAGAATCTTGGTAGGGTCATCAAGTTGAAGAGCCAAGTGTAGACGAAGAAGCAAAGTGTCAGAGGCACGAGTGACATGACCATGAGAGAGTAGATGTAGGGCAACCAGATGCAGCTTCCCAAACATCCCTGTCCCTTCTTCCTCCTTAAGCACTCCCTTTTGTGCAAAACACAACCCAGCCACCCCATAAAGCAAATTCACCCTCAATAGAAATTAATTGAATTTATAAAAGGGTGATATCCAACATCTGCTATGTTTTTTAATTTCTCAACAATACCTGCTCATCTAATTTCCTGAGTATTTGAAGAGCAGAATCAAGATGACGCAGACGGTCTACATGTGCTCCCAGAGAAAGGGATGTGTATGAAGGAGCCACCCCACATACATCATCCTTGTTCTGCTCCTCACCTAGGACTGCCTTTTGTAGTCGTACCGTAATCTTGTCGGGCATCAGGTTCTATGTTGAAAACAGAACAGAACACCTCCAATGAGCATGATCATGTGGCTTACCATGAAATATGATTCCAATACTGTCATATCAGCTCCAAAACCATGGAGGCACAGCTCTTGGTCTTTTCATCGGCAAGTTAGATTTTACTTTACAATTAAGATCTGATTGAGGAAGCATTGTCTGATCAATGCATACTGCAAATGCAATATAAAATACTCCAGATATCATGAATATTTCATACATGAGCTGGGGTCCCTCCAGGTAGGCCTTTACTTTCTGAACCACCAAACTCAGAGATGATTCATATGACCCATCTCCCCAGAATTCCCAAGCAATAACATGTCAAACTGCTAAGCTGTGTTAAAGGTCATAAGTTTAACCATGAATCAGGTAAATGCCATTTGGGCTTCATACTTCTTTTTCAGATTAACAACTTTGAAATCCTTCAAGGTTGAAGAGTACCTAAATAATTCACACAAAGGGAAACTTTTTTTCTTTCCAGGAATGCAATTGAATGAAAATATATAAATAACACTTGCCTCAAGCATCTGCTGGTGCTGTTTCTCTTTCCATAAGTAGAGCCACAAGTTGTTTTCAGCCCGAAGGATTGCATCTTCACATTGCTTAGGCAGACAGCAAAAAAAAAAAATACTATTCATGGAGTGAAAATGACAGTCAAGAGGAAAGAGGAAAGGGACCTACCAATTCAAGAGATTCCTGGAGAAGTGCTAAAATGGGCTCAGAATTAAATTCTGAAATGCAAAATGCAGCCTCAGAGAATGTAAGTACAAAGAGTATCTGCTGCCCATCTGTCATCTTCAGAGGTTTTGAGAATCTCAGATTGGAGTCAAGAAGTCCCTTGTTAATGATACTGTAATCCAGATGGAAAACCAACTACCGAGGATGCCAAACAATGATTCATACAAAAAAACAGTAAGGCCAGAACTCACCACCGATCAATACTCTGACGTAGTTCCTCAATGAGAATGTTGGCAGCATCAGAATCTGAGATCAGGCTCAGCACTCCCAGATCCTCCATGACATCCAATAGGGACTTTTCCTGGTGATACAGCACAAAACAGAAATGTAATGCAAAGGAAAAAAAATAGAGGATATTTTTTAAAGAACTTTTGATTAATGCTCACCTGCCAGATGGGATTAACCTTTTTCAGTCGTTTCCATGGACCCATCATGAATGGCACAGACTCCACACTCCATTGCAAAGCTTCCGTAAGAGTGCATAAGAAGCTCTTTTCATCTTCAAGGAGCAGCTGAGCATCAGCCATCATGTACAGGAAATGCACATAGTTCTTCACAGTACGTTCCTAATGAAGATGAATAAATAACCCTCAACCTCAGGGAAAATTCAAGTAAGCCTAATAACTCAGGACTTTAGCTTAAGATACTTAAACTGACATAAACCCATGGCAATTCTGATAAGTATCTATTAATATAGAATTAGTATCAGCTTCCCACATGAGGCTTTGAAAGAAAAGAAAAAATGAAGCTCAACAGGAGAAATGAAAAACAGAAACAGATGGTTGTGGCAGAGTTATGACAAAGTTGAAGAAATATGAGGAAATCATCTGTGCTATTGAGTGCATATGACTGAAGGGAGAGGGGAATGGACAAGAGTACCTTTCCAGCTAGAAGCAGATTATGGTGTAGGTAACTGGAGAAAAGTCCTTATTGTAGGAGTAACAAGGAGATGGGCAGCAAAGAGAGTAAATTAGTATCCAAATCAGCTGATGATTCACCATGACCACAAGCAGCTTCATGAAATTTTTAGATTAAAAAACTTATCTCCTGCTATCAATAGAACTTCCTGTGCTAATTAATTTCTAACACTGAAGAAAATTCTTCTGTTTCAGTGGTCCATATCTTTGGGAAAGGAAGATTATAGTGCAGACTTGGCAAACTTACTTTTCAGAAGGGTTGCTTTTACTATTTGGCATAGGTCAAAGTGTCACTATTGAAGTACATTTATAACCCTATTTGCCTGTTCCAGAACCTTCAGGAGCTAACACATGACATGGTAGCAAAACCATAGCCTAATTGAGAATGAGCAAGCTCAGTGAGGAGACTCTGAGCTCCTACAAGACAAATAGAAGAAATGCAACATGTATATTAAATTAGCAAAAAAACATAGATGGGTCAAGTCCTTACAATCTGTGGGAATTCATCCAAAAGATGCAGGCAAGTCTTACAAGCCTGTGTGACAGCTGTAGGCATCTGCCACTTCAGATAAAGCTGTGCATGGAAGAAGGCATTTCGATCTAAAAACAAAAGAACATTTAAAGGCACTGTTAGTGTTCAATAAACTCAGATAATCTAATAACATTTGCATTTACCAAAGATATCCATTTCAGCTAGAACATTTTTGTCTACATTGTCCTTGCAGGAGCCCAGAGCTTCAGAGCACAGTCCCATCAGGCAGAGGATCTCCTTGACATGATGTTCTATATTCTCTGGCCTATTTGGTAAAGTCTTCCAATGCATTTGAGTGATGGAGAGGAGGATGTCATATACACGGGTAGCATGAATGCTGCGAACTGAGTCAGCCTGTTTATTTGCCTCCTGTGGTGGCCTCAAAAGGAGGCCAAGGTTCTTGAAGGCAGAAATCAAATTCTCTATTGAGCCAGCACTTGACACCATCTGGGAAAAATTCAAGACCAGAACCAAAATATTTATAAGGTTGGTACAAATACCCAGTCAAACTAACTGGGGAAACAACCATGGAATCTATAACTAGGTCTTTGGAAAAAAAAAAAAAAAACTTACATTCTTCACAATGTCTGTCCAGTTGTTCTTATTGAGTTCTTTTTGCCACATTTGCACAGCCTGGAGCAAGAGATTATTGAATGCCAAGAGACTCTCACTTGCCCATTTATCCCCATCAGCTAGGGCATTATACACATCTTTAATCATCCCACTTGGACCAAACACAGCTGACAGTTTCTCCTCCTTATCCGTGAGCTGGAAGAAGCCAATGACTAAATCCAAGAGCCTTTGCAGGTAACCAATGACATCAAATAAAGAGGATTTGGTATCCAGGTCAGCCAAAAGAGATCTGATTGCATAGAGTGTCTGATAGCCCTTGTCATCTGATGTGACCAGACAACAAAAGTCTCCACTGAGCCTAGCCAGTTTCACAATTACTGCTCTGTCAACTTCTTTCACATGAGCAGTGATAGTGCTTGATAGTTCTGAGATGACAAGTTGGATCATGGACTTCTGCACAGGCACAGGCAGCTGCAATTTCTTGCAGAAAACCAAGGTTTTGCCACAAAAGAGCAGCAAGTTGTGGATATTGCATTTTGTAGCAGTAGCAGCAAATCTAATCACAGTACAAATTAAGGCAACATAAGGTGGAACAATCAAAGTATTGAATGTAGTTTCAGGGGTTTCATGGGCAGAATCAGGAGTTAGGCATTCTAGATAGTCATGATATGCAGCATGAATGACAGCCACCACAAGCCTTCCTTGCCTCTCTTCATCATCCAGCTTCTTCAAATCATCAGTCAATCCCACAAGAAGCCCAAGAGCTGCTTCTACATCTCCCTGGAATAATATATAATATTTATAAGCCAATTTTCTTGTTCTTGCATTTCCTGCACTATGAAAACTGATACAAAAAAGTAAAAAATAAACTGTAAAGAGAAATAAGACAAGACATATTATGCTTGACATTAGATGGGTAAGAGGGTTATAGATGCTATGATACAGAATATTGGTCTACAGCAGGGGTGTAAAAAAATATATCATAAACAGAAGTGAACAATGGATGGTGATTGGCAGCCTGAAAATTTGTTTTGGCCTAGGTTATGTCTCACCTGCTTTAAATGTGCTTTCAAATTCTCAACTTTTTCCTTTGCACTTGGAAGTGTTGCCATTCTTCCCAAATTCATGTTGGGTATGTGCAGAGAACACTGATGGTATACGTTGGACCTTCGGTACCTTGAACAGAGAAAACAATTTTTTAGTCTGCAATAACTGTGGCTAGGCCTAATATTTCCTGAGATTGATAATGTTGGCTGTTTAGATTAGGCTAGGTATTGGTACATAGGGTGCATTGACTACTTTTCAGTCATAAAAATCAAGCTCCCATATTTTTGGGTAGTCTTCACCTTGTGAACACAATCCCCTCTAGTGCACACTCATCGTATGCTGTAGCTACATTATGTGCCCACTACGCTTAGATGTGTAACAAGTAAGAAAGGAAAGCAGGGGTTAGAATTCACATCTGTGAGAGAGGATTGCTAAAAAGTTACAAGATTTATGGAAGTCAAAACTTTTGCTAGTGTGAACCCTGAGAAATGGATCTTTGTAATATGAATGTAAGTGGAGATGCATGCAACATTGGATTTTCTTCATGTCCTAATCCTGGAGATTGGCATTTGACTTATTCATTTATAAAAAAAAAGGAAAAAACAAGCCACAGTCATATATAACATAGGGTCACCTGTTACTTGTTTTGTTGCAATTTTCCATACTACTGAAAAGGGTGCAGAGATAAGCACTAGAAAGAGACAGGCACAAATACCCTTTGGCTTATTTAAAGAGACAAACCATAACAAAAGCAAAATGTATCAGGGCACATTTATGACTGCAAAATTCATTTGACATCCAGTTCTTAAGTAGGATTTGGACTTCCAGCATTGGCAGCTTCATGAAGGTCTTGTGGAACACTTGGAGATGAAGACAACAAAACAGGGCCTTGAGTGCCTATTGATGCTAGGTACTGCTCTCTGATCATTGTCATGAATTTCTGTTTTAAGATCTCATGTTTTATAATTGAAGATAACCCCTAATGTGGTCAAACTGAAAGAAAAGATGTAAACCATTGCAGAGTCTAAGGAACAAGTGAGTTAGGAGTCAGGTGCATGACATTAGAGTGATAGGAGCATGGAACTTCAAAGAAAGGGTGTACTTGGATGATGTGGAATATATCTACTCTTCCATAGGATCAAAGAATAGGGCATACGGATGTATGAAAACAAACTCAACCCTGAATGGTACCAACCCTATGGGGAAAAATAAATACAAAATAGTAGATGCATGAATTTTCATAAATCTTAACACCTCAATTTTGCTTAACCTTTGTGATACAATTTCATCACAGGGAGTATACCCATCAACTCCAAAATATTTTCAGCACAAATAAAGAAAATTAGGACTTTGCTTTCTACTACTTCAAATGGCAATTAGGCAAATTATATTACTTATTTATTAGTACCATGGTAATTACAATGCACAAAGTAATGCACAATGCCTACCACATTTCACTTGAACTTCTCTGTAAGGGCTCCCAACATCTGAGCTCACAAATACAGGTGTGTGAAATTTATGTTGGAGGATGTCTGACATCGGAGTTGAACAGGTCCAACAGAGAATCACAAAGGGTTAAAAGTGCAATGTTAAATGTGACAAGCCTACCAATTCAGATGCAAATTCCTAATGGAAGTTGGCTAGGTCACCAGCATTTGACCAATGAATGGACCTCATCATCACCTTTATTCCTCACTCAGGCAAAGCCTATAGAGTAGTCGGCACACACCATGTTACATAAAATACAATTAGTACGATTGGGTACAATTTAGGATGGAATGGGGTTTGGTAGAGGTTTGAAGAGGTTGGAGTTCACAAATGCTATAACATGGGTTCTGAATTAGGAGTCAATGCAGTCTGGACTTGAGATGTTTGGGATTAAGATAGGTGAATTTCAGTTAGGGTGTTGCTGATTTTGGCTATTGTACGTCTTGTGAACATCATGTACACCCCAAGTTCGTTATGTGAACACCTACTATAAGCCTATGTGTACACCTTATACAGGGCTATGTGACCACCTCTCATAGGCCTGTGAACACCTATCGTGTACCCCTGTACACCCAACGTGAACACCTTCCCGTTCCTGCCCATTACCCTACTACAGGGTCGTCGTGCGATGTAAATGACGTATGCCGAAATGCAAATGATAATTTTTATATGCAATGTCAGTCAATGGAATGGATGATACATTGATAGTGGTCATAGTGGTGATGTCACTGAGGGTACCGCTGCCATGTGTTGCTACTATTGCTATATGTGCAATACAGTCAACTCTCGTTAATCTGAACGCCAGTAATCCGGACTTTCCAGCAAAATACATATAATACAATAGAAAATAAAAGATTTCCCTGTCTTTTCCCCTTTTCTTTACTTTCCCTCACCCTTGGATTTAAAATGAATGAATAAATAAATAAATAAACGTTTGATCTCCCCAATTTCCTGGAACCGAGTAATGAGGCGCCTTCATTTTGTACGGTTTTCTTCTTGCAAAAAAAAAGAAGAAAAATGAATGGTCACTCAGGCAGGGACTCGATAATCCGGAAAAATCACCAGTCCCCTCGAGTCCGAATTAACGAGAGTTAGACTGTATATGAGAATTAGAAGTCGGTGATCAGCTCCAGTAGAAATAAAAATTCCCTGCAGATAGCCTCGCACGGAAACTGTAAGAGAGCGCTGGGAAGGCGCTTCAATATGGCGCATTTCATAGAAAATGGATAAGATGGCTTAATCAAGGCTGGAAAATCTATATTCTAGGCCTCCTCCACCCATGCTTTATACTTAGTTATTACATGGCTATAGTCACAAGGCGAAGACTGGGCTTAAAGGATGGGTGTACACAGGGTGTACATGGTGTTCACAAGACGTACAATAGCCGGCCACCCTGTATAGTTGGTCTGACATTAGGTATGGGGTCCGATTTCACTCAGGTATCTCTTTAAATTCTCATGCCAAAGGTTTACCTTAGGCTAGGTCTTGTGCTCAAGCCTAGGCCTACTGGGCTACTCTCTGTAGATCTGCTTATTCTCTGCAACTACAATGTGTGGACAGTCAATGAGACAACTTTCTGCATAGAAGGTTAACCAACTACACCTGGCCAACTTTCAGCTGAACAAATCTCAGCACCAATTCAGTCATTTCATGGCACTGCATTTCCTCAGTTGGAAATATAGCTTTAACATTTACTTACCCCTACTGTCTTGTGCTATAGATATTAAATTTTCATTGAAAGTTGACCCAAAGGTTAGATATTATAGGCCTAACTTATGGATCTATAAGCCAAGGTCAAGGTTACACCTGGGCATTAAATACATAACCAAACTGATCACAGGCCTAGATCTACATCCTCACCATCTAAAATGCACCATTGGCCATCTATCTCAGTATGTTGAATGTAGCTGTCCTCAATGGTTGGGTCATAGTCCGTCACAAAGAGCTTCTGGAAGAACTGAATGGTGAGAGCACTTTTGCCCACACCACCATCACCAACAACCACAAGTTTGTATGATGTTAAGTTATCATTTGTCGGGGGCATCGACATCGTTGCCACTTTCCACAAGGCCTGCTATTGTGAATTCAGATGTCTTCGTGCTGCTCTTGGTCACCTCCCACAGCTTGGTCTTGAATGCACCTAAAAAAAAGATTCGTTAGCCATGATGCAGAGGCCTATTGATGTTACAGAGACGTTATAGCTAAGGCCTAGTCACACAGCTGGGACTTGAGTGGCACATTCTCAGGCAAGGCGTAAAACGTAGATGAACCCTATTCGCCAGCCCTATCCACTGATACACCTGACACCGCCCATCAGCCAAATCGATCCACTAACAGACAAATTCAATGACTATCCACCGTCTTAAAGAGACCTGAACTGCAGAGCAGAGGCTCAAAGAATGAAGAAAGAGAAATGCGGAAAATAATGGAATGGTCGACAGGGGCAGGCTCGGCACGGCGCCATGACAGTATGACGACGTTCTCGTGTTCCACCTCCTTTTTGTTGAGCCGGCATCCGCCCCTCCGCTGTTACTAGGCCTAGCCTTGAACTCCAGTCCAGCTGTAAGCCAGTCAAGGTCTTCCCCCCCCAGAGACAGAGCCAGTTCCCTCGCGTGATGAAAGGGGACTTTAGGATCACACTTGAGACAGTCGAGGAATCGACTGGCGTGAGGACTACTCGGGTTTCGCGGGAAAAAAGCTGGTCGATTAATGGATTGACTGGGAATTCTGAGAAACGTCTGCTGCCGATATTTGATCACTCCTTGCATCAGGAGATTGCTTTTCAAGGTATTCCAGAACTGGTATTAATATTTCAGAGATCTAAACACGGCGTTCCATTATGAATACCCCACCAATTTTTTTTTTGTTATGCACGCTGTTTTCCTTTCCAGGAGATCTTATCAACAGGAAAGGAAAACACACCAATAGCACTCAAAAAGACTTGCGAAGAAAGAAAAAACACCTAAATCCTGTCCTTATCACACTATTGATGGTGAAATTCACTCTGGGAATTGTGATGCGTTCACGAACCAAGACAAGACGCAAAACGTCACAGCACCATGTCGAGGGCTGCTCGATTGGCCTGTCGATTAAGTGACTGTATGCTTGAGTGGCAGGTCAATTAAGCGACTGAATGCTTGATTGGCCTGCCAAGGAAACGATGGACTGCTTGATTGGCCTGCCAAATCATCGACCCATTCTCAGCCAGGCTCAGGTGGCTTACACAATGTCTGAAGCAGTGTTGTCCGATTGCTCCAAGCAAAGTATTGACACTTTTTCAGTTACCAGGCTACCAGTATAATAAGTACCAAAACAGGATCTGGAATTAAAAGACACCATAATTCCTGGTTGCAGTCCTTGTCAGGCCTGCCCAGCGGGGGGGGGGGGGGGGGCGCATTGGGGGGGTCTNGGCGGGGGGGGGGGGGGGGGGGGGGGGGGGGGGGGGGGGGGCATCGGGGGCGTTCTGCTCCGAGCTTCGCGTATCAAGAGGCCCCAAGGGAGCCTCCAAAGGGACCCAATCGGACCCGAAGCCAAGGTCCCAAAAGGGCCCATCCATACCGGGACCTCCGGTTTAGTTTTGCTCGGGCCTCTAGAACCTCTGGTCGGGCCCTGGTCCTTTTTTAGGCTTATTGGAGGGTGAGGATCTCCAATTGGTACCTTTCAAAATCCTACTCTTGGCAATTTCTGTGTCGATAGGAAACGAAAGGAAAATTGGGTTCCTTACGACTTCGAGAAACGTGAAGATGGATGAATTATGAGAAGAGACTAAGAGAGACTTCTACGGGCAATACAGTCGCCTCTTTCCCGTACAAGGTCCCATTCTCACGACTCACGCTCTCGCGCTCGCGCATCAACTCCAAACCCAATCAACTTCAACCTCTCCCACTTCCCCCCCCCCCCCTCCTCCCCCCCGAGTTTTCCAAGTCTAGCAAAAAAAGAAGTAATGACCTAACTAGCACTTGGCAATTGAGAAAGCACGTGGTCAGCTCCTCTGCTCTGAGCCCCACTTGGCAAAAGCAGGCGAAACGGAAATGAGATACATGATTGGGTTCACCTTGGCAGCAGGGAGAGTCTCTTGGAAGTACTTGAGACCAAACAAGTACTAAGTACTGAAAGCACCGAAAAGCGCTACTTATAATTAAAATCGAACGAGCCATTCCTGAATGAAACTACTGAACCGATTTCGCCAAAATGGGCCCGACTAGGGCATTTTTTCTGTCGTCTTCCTCTGCAGAATGCAAGGTGTTCCAAAGTATCAGCCTAAGTACGCAACGAGACGTGACACGATGTGACAAATGTGACACAAAGCGCCTCCCAGCTTCGGAACCGTTCGCGAGGCATAAGTTTTCCATGGGCACGCACCACCTGGGTCCAAGCTCCAAGTTCGATGGTCTATACGTGGTGGTTCGAGACACGTTCACGCTCTCGCATCAGCTCCAAACCCAATGGATTTCTTCAACCTCTCCCACTTCCTCCTCCCCCCCCCCCCCAAAAAAGTTCTCAGAGTCCAGCAAAAAAGAAGTGATGACCTAGCTATCACTTGGCAAGATGAGAAAGTGAAGACGAACGAGCACCGAGGCAAGGAGGCGTGTCGGGAACGATGGAATCCCAAAGTCGACTGTCCGCGTCAACGCTGGACCGAGAAAGAACGGGAAGGCCGCACGTGCCCCCCCTCCCCCAGAGCAGAGACGATCGACTCCGAGTCCTATTTAAAGAAGGTTCTCGAGTGGCCTTCGCCATTCAAGATCGAAGCGGCGGGCGGGACGCAGAGGCAACTTCAGCTGACAAAAAGTCGGGGTGATCCCCTTTCTCTCCAACTTTTCAAGAGTTTCGTGTACCGTCCAACTAGTAAATGAATCGGGAAAACCGATATCGATTCTGCGCCCACGGATGACGACGGTCCGTTCTCGAATGGAGAATCCTAGAGAACTAGAGAACTCTTCTCGGTTTCATACATGCGAAAAGGAGTTGGGCAAGCAAGAAAATTATTCGCTCGCTATCGCATTACGACCTGTAACTTTCTTTCGAATTTTCGAAAATCGAGAGCTAAAAGGACGATTTCCAGTTTCTACTCAGCAATACACACACACACACATACACACACGCACGCACATTACAGTGTCAGTGTGCAATTATCGATCTGGACATCGGAGCTGTCAAGTGGTTGCCACGCAACAAATGCAGCCGCTTCGATGGCCGCTTCGTTTCTGGGAATCTTCGCATACGAAGTTTCAAGGGTTTCGGAGACAGTTTCATGACATTCATGAAATTCATGATAGGCACAACCGTGCCTCATCATTCGGGATCCCGTTTGTCAACGAGTTGCAGTCGTGACTGGAATCCTGCGCCTTTCTATTTCCGGTGTTTCGGGGTTGCGCCGAGCGAATTTTGGGGTTTCTTGGATTAAGTGTGGCCTAAAATTGGCTTCGCGGCCAATTTCCTCGCTCGGTTATGTCCCGAGAGGGAAAAAGGCACGAAGCGAAAACGGACACATTTCTGCGTGTTTTTTTTTTCGTCTGCTTCGTTCAGCAATCTGGCAAAATGAGGAAGCAGAACGACGCACAAGTCCAGTTCGATCGAGAAGCGAAGCAATAAATGATCCGCATCGCAACCAATAAGTGGCACCCCGGCCGGCCGGGGCAATTGAAGACCTTAGAAAACGTTAACTCGTCTTGAAGCATCTAATGAATAGTGAAAGTGGCCCCCGACGGAAATAAACTCGTCCGAAGCGACACAGAAAGCCTCTCCACACCGCCAGAGCGCATTCGTTTATCCCGAAGGAATCCGATATGGCGCCGAGAGCTGCAGCGAGCCAGAATGTAATCGAGCATCGCCGTAGCTCGCGAAAGAATCGAGGCGTCCGCTTGTAAAAATGCATGTGACTGCGCATGCGCAAAGGCTGCATTCGCAACTGGAACTGCGCGTTACAACACTCCGCTGGTCGAGATTCTGTCAACCTCGAATCGACCGAGTTTGCGTTCAAAATTCGATTCGGAGAACGGAGTCGAAACCGAATGGGAAATTTGGCATTTGAAGCCACGAATCGGTCGGTAGAAATGTGACGAGGATCGAGAAAAAAAATCTCGGACTCACCGCCCGTTTCGCCTCGGTTCGCCATTCGGATGGTAGATGGCCCTCGGATCGACTTCGCGTTCGACGGGGACGAAACTCGTTTCAGTTTTCGAGTCGAAGGGGTGGAGGTCGGATGGGGACGCTCCCGCTGTTGGCTTAGTGGGGGGAATCTCGTCGTTTGCTTTGCTGGGGGCCGGGAGGTCGAGGGGTGATAAGGAGGGCTTTTCGCGTATCGGCTGGCTTTTTCTGGGGGAGGATGCGCACTGGGGGAAGTGGGTTTCATGGGGGAGGGAATGAGGATTGTCTAGACAGGCGACGTTTCACTTCCTGCCTGGAGGACGCATAACCCGAAAAACAATAACAAATGTTTACCCCGCTCTGTCAAGGTTCGACTGAGTGAGAAGGAAGCGGAAAGAGAAAGAGAAAGAGAGAGAGCGGGGGAGGAAGAGTCGATAGACGTTATCTGCGAGTGCATTGGAGTGCTGTGCAGAGGCTTCATCACGTGGTCGTTCGAGTCCGTGTGAATCATGATGGTGTCGAACGCGTTACTGCATCTGGTGTTGATCGCATCGAGCCTCGCCCGTGCGAGCGCCTGGTCGAAAGACGTCCGCGCCGCCCTCGACCGATCCCGGCACCGCGCCGACCGCTACGGCGAGGGCCTGGTGCCCCACGCCCACCGAGACCTATGGCCGGCCGAGACGTGGACGGAGAACTCGATGCCGCGGGACCGGACGGCGTACGCGAGGGTCTGCTACTACGTGGTCGAGGTGGAGGCGTGGGCGGCCGAGGGCGGGTTGCAGCCGGAGGGGATCGACCCGGAACTCTGCACTCACCTGAACCTGGGATGGGCAGTCATCACGGAGAACCTCACGTTGGAGTGGTCCGGCGTGCCTCCGGAGAACACTGTCGAGGTACTGTCGAGTGGGAATTATTTACATTTCACTCGAAGCAGCCCCATATCGATGAGACTCGTGGCGTATCGGGCGATGTTGCTCTCTGGCGGCGGTCCGACGAAGCAGTAGTTCGTCGTTTTTTTACACAGATGTCGAGTGGCACCGTTCGATTTTGTGCCCATTTGAATGACGCAATCGGTAGCAAGTGCGGGCTGGAGTGTTTTGCTCTATTCGGAACCGACCAATTTAATTTTCGAACAATGGCCTATTTTATGAGAAGGGGGGGGGGGGTAAATGGGAGTGGGGGTGGGGGTGGAGCTGGTTTTCCTTGCAGCCCTTGCAATTGTCTGGCTTGCCATCGGGATCTTCTTTCGCCCCTTAAACCTTTACTCAGCCCCTTTACGAGTTATGTACGGAAATACAGGGTACCCCAGAATCGACTGAACTTTACGATCTCTTTTTCCTCGAGATCGACCGAAAGAAACGAGATCTTTGGGCTTTAAAAAGCCCAAAGATCTCGTTTCCTCCCCCTCCAGTCCTCCACCCTCGAAGGCCCGCGAACCAAAGGAGGTTTCGGCATTCGGTCCCCCGCGTTAGGCCAAGGCAATAGACCCCTAGGCGGGAACAGGCCAGAAGACCCTGAATACGAAATTCCCTTTGCTCAGTGGATTCTGGGACGCCCGACGGATTCCTGCTTCCGCTCGTTCGCCAAATGCGCCATTTGTCGAGCATCTCTTTCCCCGACGTGTAAGAAAAACGGAGACCCACTCGCTCTCGCCAATCTCATGAATCACAGCTCCTGAGCCCAATAAGCGTCGAACCCTGGAGAGCAAACGAATGATGGGATTTCTACTTACCTTTTTTTTTTTCCTTTAATGCTCCGAGGGCGTGAAGCGCTGCGTCGGGGTTTCCCCCTAACGTCCATCGTCGACGGTGTCACGCTGCGATCGTCATTCGTGCACGAGGCGATTCGTTCGTGCCGAGAATCAGCTCGGGGGGGTCTCCTTCGTGTCTCAGGTGCTGCGCAGAATCTACTCGCTGAGGCGGGAAAACCCAGACTTAAAGATCCTGCTCACGGTCGGCGGAGGGGGCGGAGAGTTCGGGTTCCCACGCGCCGCCGCCTCGACGGAGAACCGGAACGCGTACGTCGGAACGGACGGGAAGAGTCCGAAGCGAACGGGAAGAGTTCGACGGGGTCTTCTCGATCTTGCAGGTTTGCCGGGAACGCGGCGAGGTTCCTCCTCAACTACGGGCTGGACGGGCTGGACCTGGACTGGGAATTCCCGGCGTGGTTCCACCCTTACGAGGAGCGGAGGAACTTCTCGCTGCTGGTGCAGGCGCTGCATCGGGAGTTGAAGGCGCCGCCGTATTCGCTGCTGCTGTCGGTGGCCGTGGCTGCGAGCAAGACGGTCGTCGATCAGGCCTACGAGGTGGCGCCGCTGTCCAAGTAGGTGAGGGGAGGGGGACGAGGAGAGACGAGGTGGGACAAGGTGGGATGAGGTGGGGTCGGTCTTGCAGGTACGTGGATCACGTGAACTTGATGAGTTACGGGTTCAACGCGTATCATTGGTACACGCCGTATGCGGCGCACAACGCGCCGCTCTACGCCCGGAGCGTGGAGCACGCGTACTTCGCCACCCTCAATACGGATTGGGCTGCGCAGTACTGGAATCACTTGGGGATGCCTCGGAGCAAGATCTTCGTCGGGATTCCCACCTACGGACACACTTATAAGTGAGAGCATTCTCGAGTGGATTCTTGCTTTTAGGGGATTTTCGCGTGAGGCTGTTTCGAGTGACTCGAAGTCGCTTGTCGATTGGGTCAGAGTGGGGAAATCCGCGTAAGGGTTTCCCCACTCTGACCCTGCTAAATTAGATTTCACTAAATTAGATAATGCTAAATTTGATTTCACGTGCTTGCATGATTTTCATCCGTAATTAAAAAAAAAAAAACTTTAGCAAAGAAAACGGCACCCTGAGTCGACATGTCGATGCTGGCTTGCAGCCGCACGCACAGCCGATATCGATCCGCTCAGGAGGATCTCGGAGGAGACACCTGTACGGTTGGAGGAGACACCTGTGCAATGGGAGGAGACACGTGCGCCATGCACACCTTCCGGCTTGACGAGTCGGCCCAGGGTTGCCAAAACTCAACGAAAGTAATTTGGAATTTCTGCACCGCGCAAGGCTAAAATTGTGACCTAATTGATTAAATTAGAAAGTAGAGAGAAATGGAACCGACTCACGATCCCGAATCGGGCGATCTCACACGAAACGAATTTCAAAATTCTCACGAATTCCCCCCGAACCGCAGACTCCTGTTCGAAGAGCACCACGTCCCGGGTTCGGCGGTCGTGGACTCTGGAAGCGGAAACGGATCCATCCCGTACTTCGACGTCTGTTCCCTCCTCAACGCATCGGGGAGTCATCGAGAGTGGGACCGGGAAGCCCGAGTCCCCTACGCCTATTCCGGACGGGAGTGGATTTCCTACGACGACCTGGAAAGCATCCAACTCAAGGTTCGTGTTCGAAATATATTAACTTTTTTTTTCATTTGAATATTATTTCATTTTTGTGCCATTTTATGTTACTTTTCATAATTTTGCCCCAGTGACTGCAAAAAATCCATGCAAGTGAGCTCCCGAAGGAACGTGATACGAACTAGGAACCAGTCGGCAAACCGACATATGGTGACATGCACCGAATCCGTTTAAGTTAAACTAATCTGATCTCACAATGATTCCCTATGGGAATCAGTTTAACTGAGATAAACGTATTCCCATAGACGCCCATTATGAAAACGGATCTGTTTAAAGTTAAACGGATCTAATGCATGTGACCCCTTACCTCCGATTTAACCCGAAAACATGTCGATAAAAAAAAAAGCCCTTCCGTTTTGTCGCTTCCCTTCCGACTCATCTTGCTCTGAGGATTTCCCTCGTTCGACCGAGACGATGGCATCGGATCGAACGTGGACGATGAATAGAATGACCTTTCTGCCGGGAAAAGGCTGCACTGCAAGAGCAACGGCACATCCACGAACACATTCTCAATTCGCCACAGACACAGTCACTCCGATCACGACAGTCCCGTGCCCCCCATCGTCACATCCGCGTGTCCACCGAGCCCCCCCCTCCCCCCCCCCTAACCCCCCTCCTTCTCCCTCTTTCGAACTTGCATTCTTTGGGATGGCTTGAGGGATTTTTTGACCTCGCTCCACGACCGAATGAAGAGACCGTGGCTCTCCCCTGAACCGTCTCGTGAAACTTAGTCTTTTCAGTTTTTCCTCTTTCGCCTTCGTTCCTTTCTCCTGAATCGCGTCGTCCCGTGTCCTTCGAATATACACTGCTCACAAAAATTAGGGGATATTTCAAAAGGAATATGAAGCGATAAAAAAAGAAGCATTTGATTTTTTTTTATTAAACAAGAACATCAGAAAAGCAAACGACAAGTCAAAGAAAGTTGTTCGATTATGCAAATGAGATGCAAACTCAATTATCGTGATTGAGAGCAAGTGACATATTGGTGGGAGTGAACAGAAGCATGTCAAACTGGACGAGAGTGCCACACATTGACTGTTCAGTAGGGTGTATGGTCACCCAAGACTGCCAGAACACACTGACAGCGATGGGGCATGGACAGGATCAGATTGTCCAGCAGTTCTTGCGGGATCCTCTGCCACTCTTGCTCCAGGGCAACTTCCAGCTCAAGAAGTGTTGTGGGAGGCATTGGACGGTTTGCCAGACGTCTTCCCAGTGCATCCCAAGCATGTTCAATGGGATTCAGGTCTGGAGAACATGAAGGCCAGTCCATGCGTTCGATTCCTGCCTCCTGAAGCATGTTGTTGACGAGATGCGCACGGTGGGGCCTTGCATTATCGTCCATGAAAAGAAAGTTGTTTCCAACTGCTCCAGCATAGGGTACCACTATAGGGTGCAGGACCGCATCTCGATATCTGACAGCAGTCAGCGATCCGTTTCTGATGACGTGGAGGTCGGTACGACCACCAATGCTGATGCCAGCCCACACCATGATTCCACCACCACCGAAGGAGTCCCTTTCTCGCATGAAACGTGGATTCTCCCGTGTTCCTCGTTCACGCCAGATCAGGACACGATGATTGTCAGGCTGCAGACTGAACCGTGACT